ATCGCAAATTACGTACTTGTAGCAGGTCCGGCCGGTCACCCTACACTTGAGTTTAGGATTGGAACAATACTGGTAAGCTGTACTGAGGGTCATGCCACCAGAGCTTAATGTATTGATACCATTTGACTGTCTCCGCTTTCGGTTTGTATTTTCTGTACAAGAACAAAAGATTTAAATAACATATTAAATCATTTGGCGAAGAGGTCTGAAAATTAAAGTCATCGGATACAGAAGAAATTTGTTTGCTGACTCCATTACAGTGCCGTGGCTGGTAACAAGCAAACCGAGGCACTTGCCTCAGTCATTGGTTTTTTGCGCTAGTTGTTTATAGGCATCCTAAATACCCTAAAAATACCATTAATGCCTAAAAAGAGAATTTAACAGTGGAAATTGCCTCGGTCATAGTTTTTTCCTGGCTACGGCTCTGCATTGCATGTTTACAGTGCCTCATTAGCTAGCGACTATGCGCATGCGTAGAGAAGACATCATGCTCAGTAGGCATATAGACAGAAATTGAATCCAAACAGTAGAACCCCGTTAATCCGGTCACCAACGGGCCATGAAAATCCGTGGCCGTGTTAACGGGGTAGGATCAAACCTCGTGACTGGTCTAAATTGAGTGACATCTTAACAGACTTACTACATTTGGATGTCTAAACAACTGTTCTTCAATAAGCATCCGGAAGGAGGGTATAATTTCAAAAAAAATTGAAACTTGATTAGCGTATAAAATATTAACAATGGAAAGATGAGCATAATTGATTCGAGTGGCCGCATAAACCGGGTAAAATTATAAAAGATTACACAGGCTGGGATTTCAGAATGCGGTGGTTGGCCATATTAACGGGGTGACCGTATTAACGGGGTTTTCTTATAAGAAAATGGATGGGCGTTTCGCCGGGACAAAATATATTTCTCTATATCTTCTCACCTTCTGTTTTGATTCTTGTCGCAGCCAGCGAGTCCGGAGCCTTTTTCACGTGATATATTTGATACTTTGCACAAAATTGCGCTAACTCATCGCTGAGTACAGAACGATCAGTCACCTCACTGCCAATAATCCACGTGGTATCAACCCGCCTGGTCTCTGTAATAACCATCTGATGGAATGAACGGAAAATAAATAAGTGTGAAGAGCGTGTTAAAAACAAGACATGGGCCAGAAATAAAAGACTGGAGCTTTTTTTAAAGGGGCTACGCCATGTACAAAATTGCCTTTAAATTAAATGAAACCTGCAAATAGTAGCTTACTGGAAGATAATAATAAACCGTAAAGGAGCAAAAATGGTTAACGATGGAGAAGATTGGCGAACTTGAAAAACTTTTCAAGATGCGAAAACCGTGACGTATCTCCTGTAAGAAAATTAAGATGGAAGAGAGAATGAATAAGAATATATAAGAATGAACGAAGATTCTCCACGAGTTTTAACAGAAACATTATTAAAATAGATTTCTTGTTCTCACCTCACTGGCCTTCTCAAGATCTCTTATGAGTTTCGCAGGTGCAGATTCCTCGTTTAGAAGAGGGAGAAGATAGCAAACATTGCTATCCGGGAAACGCATCATGGTCAGATTCTGTATCGATAAGCCAAAACAATAGAAATTTGTATAGGATCTGACTAGCATAAGTCTTTTGTACCCTATCAGAGCTGGGGTTTAAAATTGTTATCTTAGGGTAAATTTAAAGTAACGCATAAAGCAAACAGAATCTAAGTCAACAGTCATCAAGGGTTAAAGGTGATATTTAAATGTCAGTTAAAACAATTATTTCCTCTGCAAGGCAGTTCGCTTTTGACTTCGCCACTATCACCCATCACTCATCCATAAACGATTTTAGAAATTGTAGCCGGACCAAATTGAGCAAAATTTAGGTAAGTGCTTAATTTTATATCGTGCGAAAAGGGCCAGTATGAAAACAGAAATTACAAGTATGATCAGTTTGTTTAATTATAAAATGAGCATTGACGTAAAAGATGGAAAAATAGTTTTCTAAGGCGTACACAAAGAATTGTGTACATAGTTAGCAAAACGTACTTGTTTGAAATCGTGTAAGACATCACTGCGATCCACTCCAGGATGAGCGGGAACTTCAAACAATTCTGTTCGCTTGTTTGGGTCCACCTCGATCGTCTCGTTGTATTTCTTCCCTGCCTCGCTGATGTGAACAGTGAAATCCACGACCTTGTGGAAAAAAAATGACAGCTTACCTGATAAGTTTAAATAGTATGCTAGTGGGGCGCAGAGGAAGTGGAAACATTTTTACGCGACCCGGGAAGAGGGCTCTCATACACAGGTTAGTTTCGAATCTCAGAGTTATCGATAAAAAGAACCGGAAATGAAAACATACCTTTTTAGAGGAAGAATCCTTACTTTGCTGCGCACACTTACAAATACGATTAGCTGTAGTGGATGAACTTGACAAGACAAGTATCACCAGAAATAGCACCGCCACTTGTACCTTGGTTTCGAATAATTTCTATCAAAAGAAATGAATAAATAGAATAATTTAGTCTTAAAGGAGCTCAGTCCTGAAATTTTGGCCACGTTCAAAAATACCTTTAAATTGAAGGAAACCTGAAAATAATAGTTTACTAAGATAGAAAAACACCAAAGATATAATAATAAACCATTAAGAAACAAGGATGGTTAAGGATGGAGAAGATTCACATGGATTGCAAACGACAAACTTGATAAATTTAGGCCTAACTTTTTACCATGCGCAAACCGTGACGTAGCTCCTTTAATAGAACGCCAGGGGTTACAATTTTTCGTCCAGGTGACTCCGTTGTAGGAAACCAAAGACAGATTTGGTGTAATTAGGATGTTCCTGACTGAGAATCCGAGTCGCGGACGGAAAAATAAATGTTATGTCACGCTATCGAACAATGTATTGGGGGCTTCTAGTAACACTTGTAAGCTGTTATTTCCTGTTTGGTCCTGTTTCACCACTACATATTTTGTGAAAAGAAGAAGAGGAAAAAGAGCGAATCGAAAAAAGTGATAAAGAAAGTAATGGCATGTAAGTATGTATGAAAGAAACCTATACTGAGAAGATTCGACTTAAATTATTGGTGAATTTCAGCTCTGCACACTTACGTTTGACATGGCTGTAAAGAAGTCTTGGTTTTCTTCTTCTTCAGTGTTTTCTATCTCTTCGCTCACAGTCTTCAGCTACTAACTGCCTTTCAGATTTTAGTTGCACTCTTTTTATACCATTTTATGGGCTTTGCCTCACGTGCTAACATCAAACGCTTCCTCATTACGGGATTCATTATTTACGGATGTATTAGCATCAACAAGGTCAGACAACGACCTGCGATCGTGTTTTTCGAGATATCCGATTCAGGAATCCCTTTCATACTTCTTTTCTTTTTAGCGAAAACAGCACGTTGCCGGAAACTTTGCTTGCCTTAGGGTTAGCTTCCCTCCGACGCCACTATTAATACGCATCCGGTTATAATAAGTATTTCTGACCACGTTTCGGTATTTGACCGTACAACTTACAACGAGCAATTTTTGGCGAGTCATTTAATTGCTGAAAGTTTAAACTGCCAGAATCCACAGTTATGCAGCCCTTGAAATCAGTGTGAAACAGTCGCACTCAACTTTATTCAAAGAATGTGACTTTGATTTGGTAGCCACATACTACAGCTACAAGATCTTCCTCAACCAACACTACTGACTTGACCTTCCTTCAGAGTATTTCTGGCACCAGTATACTTCCCCCTTTTTGAACGTACAACTGGTACCGGGAAAAGTTTGGCGAATTTTCGGTCAGAAACCATCCTTAAGCATCGTAAATTGTCTTAAATTTAAACTTGATTTCAATGGCACGGGTTCAGTCGTATTTACAAAGACTGGTCTAGTTTCAAAAAAAATGTCATGCACGTGTAGACTTTGCCACGATTTCGTCATTCAAGTCATTTTTATCTGCAAACTGTAATGAATCGTGTCACAATTTACTGGACACTGTAAACAAGGCAGCAACGACAGGTCAAACTTGGCTTGTCAAAAGAGAGTGAAATAAACAAAAGTGTTCATAGCGGAAGAAAGTTCACAAGGAACAAGACAAGGGAGAAAATAAGGAAAATTGCTCAGTGAAAAGCCGTTTCTTTCCGTATTACCCGCATGTCTTCACAGATAACGCTTTCAGCGTCAATCTACAAGGTGCATGCTTCTTCATCGATAGTGCATCTTGAGAGATTTACTATGAATTAGAGTTTCACTCTTTTATAGCGTTTGTTGCCTCAAGTACTTACATCAAAGACTTCGGCTCAGTTACAGGATTCAGATCTCGGTGCTTTGTGCTTGATTATTTACGGAAGTTTCAGCTTATAAACAAGATAAAACAACGACCTGCGATCGTGTTTTTCGAGATATCTTTTTCAGGAATCCCTTTCATACTTTCTTTCTTTTTAGCGAAAACAGCAAGTTGCCGGAAACTTTTCTTGCCTTGGGTTTAGCTTCTCTCCGACGCCACTATATATGTGCACCCGGTTATAATAAGTATTTCACCGCAATATCCATCACAAGTAGCCGGAATTTCAATATCAAATAGGAAAAAGACAACTTTTTCGCCAGTTTTTCGCGGAAACTGTCGAATTATTTTGATACCTGTACTACATAAACAAGGTCTTCTTCAGTCAACCATCACAATGGACCTAAATTAACCCTCCTACCCACAGATTTTTTCTGATCACGTTTCGGTACAGCTGTTTCTGAGACCGTCCTGCTAAGAACGAGCAATTTTAAGCGAGTCATCTAATTTTTGAAAATTTTAACTGCCAGAATCCACAGTTATCAGTTAACAGCCCTTGAAATTAATAGTGTGCAAGTGGTCGCTATTATTAATTACTTCAGAAATGTGAGCTTGCTTTAACAGCCACATACTACAGCTACAAGGTCTTCCTCATCCAACACAATTGACCTAAACTGACCTTCCTTCAGAGTAGTTCTGGCCCAGGTATACGCGAACAATATTAATTTAGCGCATTTTTGGCCAGAAACCATGCGTATGCAGCCGCAAATGTGTTAACTTTTAACCGAATATGTCAAAGATTTAAAGCTAAGTGAACTTGATTTCAATGGCAGTATTTGTAAAGGCTGGTAAAGCTTGAGAAAAACATTTAAGTACGTACATTAACGATTTGTCACGATTTCGTCTTTCAAGTTATTTCTATCTGCGACCCGTGTAATGTATCGTGTCACAATTTACTGGACACTGTAAACAGGAAAGCAACGACAGGTCAAACTTAGCCTGTCAAAAGAGAGTTAAATAAACAATAGCATGCATGGCGGAAGAAAGGTTTCAAGGAACAAGAACTCAAGGGAGAAAATAAGGAAAACTGCTCAGTGAGACTCCGTTTCTTTCCTTGCATAGACCGTTTTCAATGTCACGGAATTAAAAAAATAATAATAAATCAAAAACCATTCACTGGATGAAGTCAAAACATTGCGGCTTTATGGAAGATAAATAAAGAAGACACTCTTCAGATATTTGTCGGAATATTTCGCACAAATTTACAGAGCCCAGTATGGAGCCGCTATATTGGTCACGGTGTACCTTCATGGTACACCGATATAGCAAACATAAGAATCCCGAGATAAATACATATTCTTTTGATGAACGAGATCACAACTTTATGTCACGCACCGCCATTACACTGAAGTTAAAGTGTGTATGACATGAAAAATATTTTCCGCTTATTTTAAAGGCCTTTCAAAATACAGAAGAATGGCGTTTTTCTTTTTGAAATATCTTTTTCCGTTTTAGAGATATTGACGTTTTTCTATTATGCAAATTAGATCAGTGATGACGTCATATTGTTTGCAACTAAAAATGGTAAAATACTGAATAAACAATATCTCTAGAAATAATGTAGCAGTGTTCTTGAAACTTGGCACCACAAATGTGCGTCACAAAAGAAACCAAATGACATCCTTAGTGCTGTTGCCATAGCAACTCTTTTGGCTCCAGTCTCTTTCTGTCAAAAAACCAAATATCCCTATTTGCAACCTCTAAAGTGAGACAAAGGGCCCTACTTGGAACAGACATAGTTCTCATATTGTCTTAATTCCCATCATTAGATTGGGTGGGGTAGATGGTTCTTTGTTTAAAACAAAAACTGGGAATCTCAGTTTTTATTGAGACAGCACCAGCGGCAAAACTGTTGAAAAATAACTTAACTGCTTTGTAAACTAGCGTAAAGCTGCTTTCGTATGTTTCTAATTTAAGCAGCTTTATGCCTCTACATGTGTTAAAGCTGTCGTGACCTTTACACCAGGTTTACGCTCACGTTTTCAGTCTAACAATTTTCAATTCTTGTTGACGTCTTAGTGTTGAGCAATTGTTTAAAGCGTTGTCGAATTTTCCAAGTGCAGTTTGGCCGAAAACGAAGAGTACAGTCTATTTAGAGCTTACTTTTAGAACACGAGAGTTCACTTCTATTACTAAGAATCAAGCAAAAGTCTTTTTCTTTTGTTTTTCTCGTAGCATCATTTATTAAAACAAAAATTTACACAACGGTTACTTGTAACAAAGGCACTAAAACATGCTGAAATAGACGCAATGTCGCTCTAACCTATGGTTAATATAAACTTCGAGATGCCGAATGATTCGTACATATTCTGAAAAATATGTAAACGCCCATTACCTTAAGTTTTAGTTAATGCTATGAAGTAAGGAGTTAGCCGGCGCTAAGTACTTCAAGTCTGATCTCTCATCTATAACCATGCCTCTGATCTCTCTGTTTATGTATATGTATACACTTACAGAACGTCATTGGGTCAACTCTATCTGGTAGCTAATTTTAGTAAAAGTCTGCATAAGAGCAAAGTGGCCCATCAGACCGGAGCCTATCCCGGTTTCTGTAGCATGAAGCGACTAGGAGTATTTCTACTCCCCCCATGGATGGGATACTGGTCCATCGAAGGGTTACCCCCAGCATTCGTAATTGCGCTGGTACCCATTTTTTCACCTGGGTGGAGAGAAGCACTGTGAGATTCAATTTAAGTATCTTGCCCAAGAATACAACACAATGTCCCCGGCCAGGGCTCTAACCCAAACCGCTCAATCCGGAGACGAGCGCACTAACCATGAAGCCACTAGGCCTCCACTAACTTCCGTGATTGCTAGCTATTAGAAGTTAACTTAACTGAACGACGACAAAAAAAAAAAAAAGAAAAGAAAAGAAAAAAAGTATCGAAAAGTTTATTTTTTTTTCCAGCAGTTCTTCCAACGTTAAAATTTTTAAAAGTCAATCTTTCCCTAGTCAGAACTTGCCTTCCTCGACAGTGATTTTAAGATAAAAAAAGTGTATATGGTGGGCCGATGTTTTTAAGATTTTAACCTCGGGGGAATCCCAGAGAACACTGAAAACTTTTTTTTTAATTTTGGGAAATGTGGGATGAACGTGTCAGAACCACTGAAAGAAATGTATAAATTCAAATTTTATAGAAACTACAGTTACTCGTCAAGTTTCACGCTTGAAGCGATCTTGAGCGGTCTGTTAAAACACATGTAATTAAAACCTTGTTATATAAGAGATATGAGCTCTACAAATCCTACCATTAGAAAGTATGAATTGATTAGCAACTTCATCTTTTGATCTCTCGAAATGGGCCGGCAATGATAACTTTAAGAAACACAAAACAAAGCTGGCGGTTTCGTTGCCAGTAACCAAGTTTCGTTTTCCTCAGAAAGGATACTGGCGAAGCAACGTTGATGTGCTGAAATAACTTCACGACACTGTTCTCGAGAAAAGATGGGCTCGATTACCAGCCGCTGTTCGAGAGAGAAGCTCGCGCTCCGGCCGAAATCTAGCTAAGAAAAAAAGAAAACAACAAAATGGGTAACCCTGAGAGCCGTGTAATATAATCTGACGCTTTCATCCATTTTATATGTAAAGAAAATAAAAACATAGCTTGCTTAAGTAAGAACGAAGTTAAAAAAAGAAAGGTTCTCAAACAATTTCAGTCTGTGGGTTAGAACAGCGTCAAGGTAATTTTCTCACCTTACACGTTTAATTTCTCTCTATCAAGACACGTTCCCTTAGATGATGGTTACCTATCTTCTCCTTACTTTCATACTTTACATTGCAGCGATATTGTGAGCAGAGATTAGTTGTTGACCACACGGTTCAAGCAATTTTCATGAATCAAACTACAGCATCTGTTTTTTGGTATGTCTAATTATGATAGTCAGTCACGACTCAAGGCTGTATAGTAGAACATCGCCCCCCCCCAACCATCTTGATCATTTCACGTTGTCCCTTCTACCCTCGAGCCCTCCTAAAATATGAAAACCAGAATGCCCCAAATCACGGTTGACAGAAATATAATGACGAAGGGTTCCCTTGTTATTAACCAAATCTGATGTGACGCCTTTCAAAAATCTCTGCTCCTTCGTTGTCAGAATTTTCAGCCTTGCTGCAAATGTACTTGCAACATACTGTGACTTTCCTTGTGATGTGAACATTCCTACAAATGACTGATCGACGAGAAAGGCTGCGAGAATCCCTGCGAAATCGTCGATGTCGAAGGCGATGATGAAAACCCATATAACCTCTGCGGTTGAAGAGACGTAACATTCTTCCAATTCTGAGACGCCGGTCACGCACGTTAGTTGTTTCACGCGTGACATTTCTACATTTAACGATCTTACCACAAGTGTATTCTGTCTTGCAGTCTAATTTGGGCTCAGAACAGGCTTCGCTGGCTTCACTAAGGTCCATACCACCTGGGCACAGTGCTGTACCATTTTCTAGACCACTTCCGCTCTGTCTACGCACCCGATTTGTTCTTCCTGTAAAACAACCAAAGAAGTAATTCATGCAAATTGTCTCCCGGGAGGCGGGGCGGGGGGGGGNTAGGGGTTAGTCTACAAAGTTCTATACGGGGAGGCGATTCGGGGAATTTTGCAGTTTTTGAAATTCAATGTTTTCTTTAATATTGCAACAAAGCAATTTACAAAGTTCACCAGTTTCGCAAGCTCTTTAAATGTTTGGAATCAAGTCAGTTAGGCCAAGTTCAGACGCCGTACTCCACATGAGCCGAATCGAATGCTAATGAGGGAGAATTGAAGAGAGGATTTTTCTCATTTGCATTCGATTCGGCTCATGTGAAGTACGGCGTCTGAACTTGACCTTAACTTCAATTTGCATATACCTCTTAATAACCGAGTTCGAAGGCCGTACTGTAAGTTACGGACCGAGTTTTTCCCCATCGATTTATGGCCCAAGCGCGAAGCGTGTGTATCTGACAGGTTCGGGAAAGATTTCTATTCACGCAGAACGGCTTCAAATTTCTGACACACCTCGAAAGCAAAACGAATCAATTTGAAATCGTTGTTAAGTTAAGAAGGCTTGGCGATCTGATCACGAAACATTTTGGCGACAAAAAGAGCTTTAAATTTTACAAAAGAATAAATGTTTAAATGTTTAGGCTGGCCTTGTCTAGCCACATTTATTCTTTTGCTTTTCGAGACATCAATCTTGACACTCTGTCTCCTTGCGCCCCGAAACACGTGATGTGGCAACGCGTGTTTCGGGGTGCAAGTGAGTTCAAAGTACGGAACTTGATCTAGTGAACGGGTCATTTTGCAATTTACGTGCGTTGGCTGTTGGGCTGGCGTTACATATCTTCGCTACACAGTGCTGACGAGCCCCGAGAAGGGCGAAACAGCTGTCCACTGTTGCGATCCTACTTTATCGGTTCTTGTCATGTTGGTGTCTCGAAACGTTTTTCACGTAGTATCAGCCTTGCAGT